TTCCATGAGAACAGCAACGTAAATATTACCAGGGTTTCCTCTCCTTACTCCCTGCCTGCCTCTCCAGGAAGTCCACCACTGCTGTGACCAGCAGCTACCAGCTGTAAGCTCTTCTTGTAGTACCATGGCAGAGCTTTAACACAGAATTCAGTATCTGGAGAAACGAGATCCTTGGTCACTATGCTTTTAGGTTTTCAGATTGTTACTCTTGGATACACAGCTGAGGGAGAAGGCCTTTCCTGCCTGGTTTCAGCTAGGTCATTCAGGAATTACCACTGAAGCTAATCACGTTGCTTCAGCGCTATCTGCATCATATTTTGCTTTTCTTCAGAGGCAGCATTTCAGCCATTAGCATCATTATTACCTGGCTGGATGCACATTCTCATGAATACTCTCACATTTTAGCCAGATTTTGTAACTATACATCCAGCAGCTTATGGCCAGGTACTTTCTTCCTACCTGATTCCTGCTCAGCAATTTGGTTTTGAAGTTGCTCCCACCCAAACCTCTGCTAAAGGTACCTCAAAGGTAATCTTTGAAGACTGACAGGTCCCAAACTCCAGGAGTTTGATCTAGTTCTGGCTTAAGCTACCAGTTATGCTACCCCAAGCCGTTCAGTCCAGCATTTCCAGCCATATGACCGAATCTTATTGCAAAAGAACAAGTTAATGATTTGCAGTCCTGGCAAGCCTCTGGTTTCTTTTAAACTTACCTTTTGTAAGCGATGTTCTCAGGTAGTTTCCATGCTCGTAAAGCTACTGCGTTGCTCTGGAGATCTTTTTACCTCTGCTTGATGATGTTGTCCATTTCTAGAGGTGCTTGGCTGCCCCCATAGCACCCTGTGGTAAAACTTCGTACTCTCCCATTGCCTTTGCAGGTGTAGCCGCACTCTTAAAAGAAAATACTGGAAGAACTGAAGTTACTTCCTTCAGGTTCATGCCAGGTTCTCTTCAAAGCAATTCAGAGAACTTGGTTTGCTCAATCTTTTGACACGAATTAAGTCTGTTTCCAGTTCCAGGTAATGCACTTGACATACACAGCACTGGCACGAGACTGGTGTTTGTTTCTTGGATAAAATTACACAACACGTGCCCTTGTTATCAGTCCCTGATCCATTATCTTTGGCATCTGCTGCAGAGAAGCTGCTGTTATGCAATGGAAATTCAGAAGATCTCTTGTGCTTTGCTCCCTTCTCCTCTAACCCAAGAAACAAGTATAAAACAGCTCACCGAATGCAAGGAAACCACCTACAAGCTCTTCTCACCATTGCTACCAAGCACTTCAGAGCTGCTTGCACTCCTCCAAGTCTGTTTCCTTCCCCTAATGACACAGATCGTTGCCATCCTGATGCCAGCCAGGAAAAGGCCAGCGTGTACAGATATACCCTGTAGCTTTGAATGGAAAAAGGGAAGAATCAGGGAGAACGCCAGCTTTTGTTCTGCTACATAGAAGCTTGCTTTGGTAGAAAAGTTGAAGAAATGTAGGAATATGCTTTGAAATAGGATTTTTAAAAGGAAACTGCTCTTTATCTTGCATTTGAGAGAAAAATGTGTGAAGGACTGAATAAGTTGGACAAAAAAAAAAGGAGCTGAGAGAACTGCTTGGGCAAATAAGAAGGGAGGGGTGGAGAAAAATCAAAAACAACAGGAAAGAGGCAGGCACAGATTGCCAATTAATTTCAGATCAAAGGAAAATCCTGCTCAAAACTGTTTTTCTTCTTCTAGGAGGCATCACCCATTTCTAGTATCTGCTGCAAAGAAGTGAGCACGCTTTAGATGCACACCCAAGAGAAGGAGCCTGATACCCGTAAAGCTGGCAGAACATTTTTCACAGCTGACACCCCAGGCAAAAAGAACCAGAAACCCCACTGTAGTGCAGAACATCAGCACTACGGTGGTCATTTGCTGGTCATTTTCCCTCCTCTGTTGTGGCTATAGGAGAGCTGCAGCACAGCCCAGCATCTCTCGCCCTGTGCACTTCTCCTCAGGCACATTTCCCCCTTAAAGACTGCCCAGGAAGAACCATGTCAGTACATCTAAAACCAGTGTGAAAGCTCCAAGAAGCTGGCTCCTGGCTGGACTAAGCCCATCTAAACCTTAAACAACCGTGCACCTCTCAGTGCTAGCAGCGCCGGATGAAAACTTTGCAGCACCTACCCCTCATCTGCAGGACACGTGGTGTGAGCCCTGTGGCTCACACAGAAGCTGTTCTGCAGCTACACAAGTTTTGCCATCAGGCCACTGTGGCAATGGACACGTGCACCATTGGCAGGAGGCTTTCAGGCAGGTGAAACAAAACATTTCTTAATTACAGCGGCAGAGCAAGGCTGGATCTGAACAAAAAAAATCCATACCCAAACAAGAGCAGGTGTAGAAAGGGAAGAGAGTCATCACTTTGCAGTCTGGCTGCACACAGAGCAATTCGTGGCTGTGATTAATTCATGAAAACATCAGAATTCCAAGCGAGTGCAGGCTCAGTCAGGCCACTGCATCTGGCATCATAAGTGGCCCATTTGGAAAACACAGCCAGGTTGTTTTCCAGCTTCTCTAACCTCTGGCCTCAAAAAAAAAAAAAAAAAAAAGGCCTTGACAGGTAGGAATTTCCTGGCTACAGTCCATGCTCCAGCCTTTAAATAGGGGGGAGGGGGGGTTGGGGAGAAGGGAAATGATCATTTGTAGTTTGATTTTTCACTTTTTTCTAGCAGGCAAACAATTCACTTGACTCTTCCAGAGCCTAAGTCACAGCTATAACCACGTTCACTTAGTTCCTCTGCGAGATGGTGATATTTATAGCAGCTTTCTCAGTCCCTCGTCTAGTTGATCTAGTTGACTCGTTATTGCTACGGTTCTTGCAGACACCTTGGTAGAATAGTAGTAAAAGGCAACTGCTCCAGCCCAGATTTTTGTAGCAAATTACCTGTAGACACTCATCTGCCTACAACAGTATGAGTCAGAGGAAATTACTGTTTATAGTTTACAGACCACATGTGACACCGAGCATGTTTGAAAGCAAAGTCCCTGCCTTGAATAGCTTAGATTTAAATTAGCTGAGGCAGCAGAGGAGGAGGGAGGGCCAAGCAAAAGCGAGTCTCGCCAATTCATGGCACGGTGCCTGGTAATAGGTCACCAAACAGGAAAGAAAACCCTGGCTTCATTATCAACATCAGGCTAATGCTCAAGTGCCGGTGACTTATTTCCTGCAGGCGGCTCAAAACACAACCCAAACTTATTTGGACTCCTACAAGAAAACTTAGCTCCTGCTTTAATGCAGGTAGGATGGCGTAATTTGTTTTCTCAGTGCCTGAGACATCCAAAAAATCAGCCTTAAAACATCAAGCGTTTCTGCAAAAGAACTTAGCAGATTGTGTACGTGGCAGGTACCGTGCGCAGCTGGTGCCAACAGATGGATGTTGGCTCCCTCAGATGTTGAGTAGAGTTGGTGGGGTTCCTCTGGGGAAGGGAAGAAGCGTCCTTCAGCGTCCATTCATCAAGCTGGAGCCTGTTAGGTAGGATAAAGAATGAAAAAGTGGGAACGAACCGAAATAAAAAAGTTACTATCAGAAGGGTGCATGTGAGCAGTGTGTAGGTTGGGATGCAGAATTGTAATTAGGTCGCAGGGCCCAAAAGACAAATAACAGGACAAGCTAATCTAATACCTGGGCTGTCAGTATGTAAGTGTCAGGGGATGAACAGGAACAATTAAAGGTTTTTACACAGCTAATTATGACGACAGAGGATTTGTGTAATAAAATCACTAGATTGAAATATTGTTAAAATGGTATTTTGAAAAAAAATACAGAAGGTGAAAGCACAGGAACTAGGCCACGAGAGCTCCAACAGGCTCCCTGCTCAAGAATAAAAGGAATAACATTTTGATAATAATCAAGTATCCGATGGAAAAGCAGTGCACTAGGAAGCAAAGAGTGCATCCAGCTCTTGCAACAGTTTATGTAAGTTGTGGGAATGGCTTTAAGTCAACCATGATTACTAGGGTGAATCTGGTTAAGACAAAAAACATGTATGGAAGCCAAACATGAAACAAGCTCGTCATTCTGGAAGAAGGAGAGTATGCAGCAAAATAAAGGCGTTCCTGCATATTTTAATAATTCAGAACCATTAGAAAGCTTCCTGTTAAGATAATCCTCAGAAATAACATTACAAAAAACATGAAAACACCAATCTATCATCATTAGAAGCCTAAAACAGAAAAAATAGATCAAAAGTGGCTGAACAGTCAATATTCTAACAGCTTCTTTCCTTCCGTTGACAAGTACAAACTATGATCGGACTCACCTGATAGGAGTATGAACAACAGCTGATTCGAGTATCTGCCTGGACTATACATGTTCTGCTCCACTAATCAAAACAAAGGCAACCAAAGCAAGTCAGAAGACCAGCAGATAAAATAGAAAACAAACAAAACCAAAAATCTGAAATGAAACCTTATAATTTTATTTTTATTTTATTTTATTTATTTATATAAGACAAAGCCAATGGTTAAATCAGGGAAGAAACAGGACTCTGGAGTTGGAGGTCAGTCAGGCCACACTAGCACATGTAATGATATGTATAGCAGGAGTGACAGAAAATCCAGAGTTTAATGTCAATGTGAAGAAACATCTGTGAAGAACAAAACAACTGATTTAAAAAATTATTTTACCCGCAGGAAAATAATTTTTCATATTGGTTGGAGTTAGCAGTAGCACCAAAAGTTAGGAAAAAAACGTAAGCTTTGTCAAAGATGAGTCACAGCAGATGTTATGAAAAATTTACGAGTGATTTATCCAGAACTTACAGAGGTTTTGGTTACGTAAAGCAAATGTAGCCTTTCATCAACTACAAACTGAGGAACACTGTTTAGTGCGTTTTAGATTAACACTGAAAACTGAAAGTGATGTTCTTCCTTTCCACCTTGCTATCATGTATCCTGGGATAATATATTACCACAGATTCCTAGCTAGATTAACTTATTCCCGTTTCACAAAAACAGCAAAACCAAAGTTGTCCTTGGAGCTGCAGTTCTAAGCAGCAGTGTTTATTTAGAATATATTTTTAAAAACAACTTTAAACATCAAACATTAATGCTTCTGTTACAGATGTCATCCCACAACTGAGCAAGCAGCAAGATGTGAGTTTAAAACATACAGTATACTTTTCTACATTGAAGATAAAAGGATTACACAGTTAGGTTTACAGAAACCCATAGGACAAATCAGCCTACAACAACAAAACACAGTTCCTGAGAATTTTAAGATTTCAGTAAAGACTCTCATTTTAAAAAGGTCAAGAGACAAGTACCCCGGATAGTAGCTTCAAACCTCTAGGTAAGAGCCCTGCCAGCCTGTGGTTCACTTCTAAAGTGTACACGAGAGGCAACCAAGAAAAAAAGCAATCCTATTGCAAACAGGATTATGTTTACTAACCACAGTTGCTTGCATCTACACTGGAATTTACCCCTCATCTTACTCAAAGGTCCACAAGAAGATTCACAGTCCACTGATAGACATTTACACATTCCAATGTAAGACAAAGGTAAAGCTGTGTGTAACTGAATGATTTTGGAAAGGATGTTTCATCATGTTAGTAAACAAAAGCTCAGCACCTCACAGCTGAAAGAATTTGTAACTAAATATTTTGGTTAGCCATTAAACAGAAATCAAAGTCTAAAAAAAAAAAAAAGCTGTAAATTCTTGGAAATAACATTGAAGAAATACTCACAGAACACAGTTGATGTTGTACATTTTACTTAAATGAATTACAGCAAATTTCACCAGTCCTATGATTTATAAAGTACACAAAATATGGACATAAAGGAAACCAAAACCCAAAGACAATCACATGTGTGTATGTAGATATAACATACGCACACAAAATGTGCAAATTTATTTTAATGCAAGTTCAACAAAGCTTATGCAGGATAGAGTTGTACAACGTTAGTGGGACAGAATATTCTAGATATCCTAATGGCATTTCGTATCTACAGCCAGTGCAAACTTACAAGGCACAAACTCAATGCTGACACTGTAGTGTTGGAAGTTACATTCAGGCACATCTCATCTTGATTTTTGATTTTTTTTTTAAGAACTACAGTGGAAGTGCTACTTCTATACTAAAGTGCCAGCCTTTTCTCAAAGTTTAAGAACTAGATTGATGTAACCTACATGCAATAATGATCAATAGGGTTCTGAGTAATTTATCACTGCAAAGTCCGTGGCTAAATCATGTGAATGTATGCTATTGCCCAAAATACCTCCTTTACATTCTTCAGAGATGACTTACACCTTGCCAGCCTTGGCATATGGAATCTTACTCACACTTTTGTCTGTAACTTCAGTCACACTCTTGCAGAAAGAAAAACTAGTTTTAAAAAAGAGCCAGCAAAAAACTCAAAACCTGTCAAGATACTTGCATTTAACAAATCTTTGCTAAATTGCATAGTGAGGTGTGTATCAGCTAGTAAAGGGTTAAAAGCACAAGCTATTTAAGGCAAAATTTTAACACAGCATTGCAGAAAAAGCCAAATACCAGGTCCATCAGTATTTAAACAGAGTACTGGCCCATAGAGATTTATCTTCACAATGTTTTCTTTCTTACATTAATAGCAAACCCACACTTGCAGTATGCTTGATTAGCAAATTGTTGCATTTTTCTAAATGAAATGAGAGCAATTAACATGTAGGCTGATTGACTGATACTGAAAACACAGACAAATAGATTTTCTACCCCTCAAAAAAGGGCTTTTTGAGCCTCCTGGGAGTTTAAAACTCACTTGTACCCAGGGCGAATATAATACCTAAAACTGAACTAATCATTTAAAATTTTCTAATACGAGTTACCACATCACTTTGCTGCCTCACCCTAAAGTTGTCTTTCCAGTATTATTTTTCAATAGAATACATTTAATAGACATCTGAGGAAGACAAAACAATACAAAAGCTTAAGGGTCTTTGCAAAGAGATCTTCTATTCCTTCTGCGAAGTAAGAAAGGAGTGATTTTATTGGCATTTATTTGTAGTGCCATCAATAAAGACAAGAATACTTAAGAAAGCAAAAATAGTTCTAATGTTCCACATACATCTTTGGTTTAGCCTTCCTGACCAAAATCTTCTGTAAACTTCTTTAACTTCTCCAGGTCCTGTTCATTAACTGTTGGTTTTGTGCTAGCTAGCGACCTAAGCATATCGTTCTGTCAGAAAAAAAAAAAAAGTGTATTCAGAAACAAGCATAGTACCACTGCTAACAGTATCGTTGACAAAAAAATATGCTTTAGAAAACCTTTTAAAGCAAGATGACCATAGGAACTCTTATTTAAGCAAACCTTCAAGTAACCCCAAACATTTCTGCACACAGGCCAAATTTTTATTCTATGAAGACAGACAATTAGCAGTGAGTTTTTCAAGAATAAAACCACAATCCCAGGTTTAGGTTTATCCTCTCATCCATTCAGCATCCACTGAAGTGTTATTCATCACTGCTTACTGGAACAAACTGAACTTCTTTATTTTCTTTTCTTTTTTTTTTTTTTTAAAATCTACATTTAAAGTACAACAGTTTAAAGGTGAAAATAATCAAATGTTCCCATGTATTCTTTATAGTCCATCATGGTTAAAAAACCATGAATGAAAGGTACAAGAAAACTAATCAAGTCCTGGCCAAAGGCAACTGAAAAGACTAGATGCTCATATTACTATAACATTGTGGGTAAAGATGAAAGTCAATGTCATGACTTTCCAGACTTGAAGTTTGTCTCATCATACTACAGATACCCTGCTCAGAAAAGATTAACGCCTGATTTATTTATTTTTAAGGGCAATAACTGCATTTGGACACTGAGACAAGCTCCTATGCAACTGTAGCACATTAGAGCTTAAGTTCCATTAGTAGCACTCAAGGAATTAATGTATTTAATTCCAGGAAAGACAGATGAAAAATCCACTTAGACTACACAGGCAGAAGTTTTAGGGCAGGCCTGCACTTGCACACATCTTTTTGTGCTTCCTTAGTATGCAAATATACACAGATAACTCATATATTATTTATATTTACAAAGCAGTACACACTGTTTTAGAGGTTTGTGATGCTCATGCAACACACTTTTCCTTCATTAATTACAAGAACTGTTGTACATTAGATATCAGCACAAATTTGATATCAAGTCCTTTCCTCAGTGCTCTTAAATTCTGAATCTTTGGGGTGAAATATAGAACAAGTGCCCAGGAATTTTATTCACGTATTTATTCACAGTGAACTAAAATTCCAATTTGTCTTGAATAAGCTATTTTATTCCTTAGACCAAACCAAGTATTTTAACATATACAGAAAAACAGCTGAAAGGTACTGAAAGCTAGCTGCATCACCTCTGACGAATTTTAACCAGAACTACCGTTACATCCATCAGCTTTTTACATTTTATTGGATATATGTGCCTATATGTTGTGGACAACATTTACTTACAGCACATCATTCCCAATTTACACTGAATAAAATTTCCCACTCCTCTCTCTCTCCTTAATGCTATAGGACAACGGGAAGGTAACATATCACAGGGCAGGGATTTTGAAGGTTTTAAATGAATAAGAGAAATGAAAGAATAGTGGAAGATTCAGATGCTGCCTGTGGATGAAGGGACTGCAGCTGCATGGCACCAAACAAGAACAGTAAAAAAAAAAAAATGCTTATCTGGGATGGAGAACTGGCTTGTTCACAGCCATGCTGTACATTAGGATTCAAGTATTATCTGGTATGTCCAGCACGTCTGAAAACAAACAGCTCATCCAATTGCCTTGCATACCTCTTTGAAAATGCCTTCACTTTAAAGTCTTTTTTGAGTTTCACAAATCAAGAAAGAAATGCCACAAAAAAATACCTACCATGGAAACCTGTGGCTCCAGTAATTTATCACCTGGAACATCCATCCATGTCATTTCTTCAGCGTCAGGATCACCTGGAGAGCAAGGGGTGAACAAATCTACCATAATATTTGGATTAGACACTGATGGTCCTTTTACCTAAAAAAGAAAAACAAAAAATAAAAACCCTTTACCACTCAGTTTTATAGGAGTTTGTTTTTTTTAAGTCAAGAGATTGAAGCTGAACATATTTAGAGCAAAAGCATTCTCTGATTTTATGTAGATGCCCTACCCATGGGGATATCATGTCCAGCAGAAGAGGAGTTGCATGAAAGTACTGGCATCATTCACTTTGAAAACACGCAGCTGCAGCCAGATACTTAAATTCCCATCATGTCAAATCCTATGAACCTCCTTCTCTTAAGGCAGGAATGTCTGTAGAAAGCTAACATGCAAGCAATCCTATTTGGAAAAGACGACTCTTCTCAGTCCCTGGCCACTTTGGGAGTCCACTCATCACTGGTTAACAGCTTTCTAAATATTTCTCCAGAAGCTGTCCCCCAGTGCCCCTCAGGTCAGGCAGCCAGAGATGCCTTTTTAAACTTTTACGTGGCGCACTACAAAGCTCTGTGCACCTTTTCTGACAGCACTCGATAGAAAATAGGGCCATCTAGTGGGAGAAGTGAAACCAGCCTCTTTTCCGGACGCCCAGAAGCTGCACCAGGTTTCTTTTTCCTTTCTGCAGAGCGTATCTAGGACCCACAGTTCTATTTCCTTTCATCATTATCTGAAGCATCACACATCCACAGGAACTCAGAACACATGCAAAGAGTGAAAGACAACACACTAACCAGCTGGTTTTAACCGCAAAGAACTGGATTTGCCATTCCAACCTGCTTTTAAAGCACAGTGCTTTAAACACAGGTTGTAACACCCAAAACACTGACAAACCTATGAGTTATCATCACTTGGAGCAAGCAATGGTTTACAATGAATGACTGAAAACTGAGCAAAGTGCTGTTTAGCTGGGACAAGTTCTCTGGTACTATGCAACTAGTTAATAAAGCCAAGATTTTTTTCTTACAAGAAACTGTACCCAACTGAAGTACTAACAAAACAAGTGGAATAAACTTGATTTTTGTCAGAACACTCAAAGTACTGCAGTTCTTTTTCTAGCAAAAGAGGTAAGAGGTAAGGATTGCCTTTGGTTGCTCTGAAACTGTGACAATTGAGGTTATTTCATTGTGCTGCAGTAGTCTGAGATATGCCTCGGATACTTGCAAATTTCGCTTTGAAAAGGCTAAAAAAGTAACAACCTATTGGTCAGAAATGTCATTGTCATTTAAAGTCAATAAATAATGGATAAATACTTCAGGCATCTCTACTGAAAGGAAGGAATCAGCCAGAAAATCCCTGATACATCAAAATATTTGTCTTTATTTTTAAACAAATACCATTTATGGCAGCGCTACTGCTTCAAAATAATGTTTCAAAATGTTCTTTGTATTTAAAACTAGGAAAAGACTCTCAACCTTAAAGTTGTACCTTAAAGGGTACATTCTGGGGGGCATTTTAAGGGGCAACAAAATGATGACTTCCCTTTATTGAATCAAAAACCTCTGCAGAATACCTTAACCCACCTTCACCTGCAATACACAAATTTCTGTTAAATTAAACTTTGCAGTAAAAGTATAAACAAAAATACTTTTAGTTTGGGTCTCTTAAAAACCAAGAAGTTCAAAAAAAACATTTAATACATTTTTGTTTTTGGAATTCTGTTTATAACCATTGATAACCTTAACACATTTTTTTTGCCTCCATTGAAAGCATAATAGTTTAGAAACAATTTAAGCAACACTCGTGCAAATTCTCCGGGGAGAAGAAAATATTGCACAGATTCAATGGATTTAAATTTATCTTAAGAACTCTAGAGGGTTCTTAGTCAGATGAAATTTCTGGGATCCAAACATTTAGAAGAAATGTTTACGTTAGTAGCATGTAATATGTAGACATCACTGCAAGATAAGCCAAACATATGTATGGTTTCAACATCCTTGTTAGAGAGCAGCTAAATAAGCGTAAGCTAACTTTCACATTACACCAGCATCCCGAAGGTGTTCCATTGTTTGGGCAGCACATAACCTTGCTCAGCTGTCCTGCATCTTTACTACTGTCCCAAGTAACATTAGGTTAAGATTCCAGTAAAAACAGTCACCTTAGTTTTTCAGTCTGAAGGACATTCCAAGCAAGCAGAATGTGCATAACTATAATTCATCTGTTTCCATATTGACAAGGAATACATTTATCAACACAAACACTACAAAAACATGAAGAACCATGTAATTTGATACAAAAAAAAAAAAGAGCACCTCTGTAACGCTCCATTTGAAGTTAACTTCAAACTGAATGCTTTTAACCTTTTAACACTAGCTAGAGATGTGAAGAGTCAGAGCTTGGATTGCACAGAACAAGCACCTAGAAACCAGCTGCATCAGACTTACGGCAGAACTTGTGTAAAAATGAAAGGAGGTGATATCCATGCACACTCTTAAAAAATAAAAGGACAGTGTATAAACATTCATAAGCATTCAGTATTACCCAAACCAAACTCGGTTTGCTTGCGAGAGATTTTCAGATCAAGATAATTTTAAGTCAAAATAGCATGAAAGTTTGGTGATTCATACTTACTTTTTTAAAGTGAGTAGCTGATTGTACTATTCGAACAGGCTGCATCAGTGCATCGCGTACAATGATGCTTATATCTGCACCAGAATAGCCCTCCGTTCTTTTTCCAAGCTCTCGATAATCTGCTTCTGTTAGGCGATTTGGAGTTGACCCAAGGTGAAGTTTGAACATTGAAGCCCTGGCATGCTGTTCAGGTAAAGGAATATAAATACGCTTCTCAAACCTGGTTTCAAAAAGAAAAAACAGAACACTCCACAGACGCTGGCTCATGCAGGTGCACAATGGAAAGAAGCTTATGCAAATCAGCATGTAGTTTGTTCCTAAGTGAAACTGCTTCTTTCTAATATTGTATTATACACCATTAAAAAAAACAATCAAAGGCAAATATTCAACAAGCTAGTCTCATAAATAATACTGTAGCCATCATAAGCCAACATCTAAAATACAACAAGTATTTCATTTTCAGGACAAAGATCACCACTTCAGATTGTATTTTCTCCAGGTTCTCTTCAGCTAATTTTGTGTTTTAAAAGAAAAAACAACACTGAAGACTTTTTTTTTCCTTCTGTGAAGTGCATTTGAGCAGTTTTCACCATTGCAGAAAGAACTGCCTCATAACACGTTGACAAAACCACTTTCTATCTTTTCTAACTTCTTAGAAGAGAGCTTTGTAGTTGGAAACGAATTTGAAGTCCTGCTCTCAACAGGGCCATCGGTAGAAACTGTTGGTATCTGCAGTTCTTCCTTTGTAGCAGCATCTGTTCTCACAGTAGAGATTACCTCCCACCAACAAAATGAGAATCTCAATTCTGTAGAACACAATTAACTTGCTACACATGACAAACTGGGCCAAGACCATGACAAATTAGTTGTTACTGCCACGTTGTACAAGTTCCTTTGAGTTTTACAGACAAAACTTAGATACTTCTTCACACTGCAAAGTACAACCTGAAATTTCAGGTAACACATCCATTTCTGTATCTGTCTATACAACTATAGCCATATAGGATGGAAGCGACCTCTGGAGGCCACCTGGTCTAAATTCCCAAAGCACAGTCAGCTTGAATTCAGTATACAGGTAAGAGTCAATGGCACTGTCACAAAAAGCAATGTTTCTTTAGCCTACAAAAATGACCATTGTCCACGTTGTGTCCTCATCACAACATAACCATACTTGTAATTGCATTTGTCCTCTGCTGCTCTGCAGCTGAAAGATCCAGATCATCAGATACATGTACAAAAGCTTCTTAACTCAAGAAAAGAAGTGAAAACACACTCTGAAAGATCACACAAATTGTGTGTGACCAGTACTAAAGCTTGGTAGTTCTGCATAACATAAAATTACATTTCCCTGAAATTACTCAAGCTATTCAATAGCTTAGTACAACTGAAACGGGCAGCTTTGCCCCCTGTATCCCTTCTGAGCAGCATGTTTTGTATCTTGTCCCCCTTGCCAACCACGAAATCAAACAGCAGTGAAATAGAATAGCCTTCTGCTTGCCCAAGCAGAATTAGCTGACCGAGATATGAAATAACCTACAAGGTAAATACAAGGGTGAACAATCCACCTCTTAAGTGGCAAGGGGCTATTGATTCAGTCCAGTCGTGTCTGAGAACATTAGCCATGCCTGCAAGCATTAACGAGATTACTGCCTCAAATAGCCTTGTGCTGAACCTTCACAACAGTTGCAAATTTCACACCATAACAGAGCGCCATCGTACCTTCTCCTGATAGCAGAATCCAAAACCCAGGGTATGTTTGTTGCTCCTAAGACCAATATTCCTTCATTGTCGACACCAACCCCTATATGAGGGCAGAAACCATTTCACCATTTAGAAGATAAACAAAGACTGTTTTAAAACATTGTCAGGATTTAATGGGGTGGAAATGCAGATTTCTTTAGTGTTCTCATGCCAGCTGTACTTAAAATACACACCTTAATTCCTTTGATTCTGAAAACCAGCAACCTTACCTTGCATCTGGACTAGAAACTCTGTTTTAATCCGTCTGGCAGCCTCGCTTTCATTTTCACTTCTTGACCCACATAGTGAATCTATCTCATCAATGAAGATAATGGAAGGTTTGTTTTCTCTGGCAAGCTGGAACAAGTTTTTCACTAATCTTAAAAAGGAAACAGCCGCAGTTATCTTAATGTAAACACCATCAAAACCACACAACTTAGGATTATGACAGTTACTTTGTTTAGAAAAAGCTAAAAAAAAGTAGACCCCCGAAATGCATTGATAAAGCTACTCAAAGACACAACATTCTTCCAGCTCCAAGAACTCTGCATTATGTGGAGGGAAATACCACAATATATAGGGAAGTGAAGCATCTTAGAGTACTCCATGTGTGATTTTGCAGGCAAACCCTGCTAAGTTTTACCCTTCTGCAAGACAGATTTAACTATATAAAACCACCAATTTAGAAAGAATCAAAGCAAGATGGCTTTGTCTTATTTAAGATTTGTAACCGAATCTGATTTCCTCTAGAGATTTTTGAAGAAATATGTACATTCTTATAGTTTTTTTTTTTTTTTTAAATAATATTACAGAAGAAGTCAGTTTGCCTAAAAAAGCTGAGATGAATCTTACCAACATAGTATACTAAGTTAAAAAGGAAAATAAATAGCAACATGCTGGACAATTCTTCATATCACTGACACTAATAACTTTGGGAAACAGTCCCAGCCTGAAGAGAAACCAGTAGTCTTTATTTTGACTTTGACTTCAACATCAAACAGAAAAAATGGCAAGTTGGACTCCATTTTTTTTAACCCTATCTCAATTCACGGAAGCCTCATGAGAACCCTAGATGGACAAGTTCCTGCACTTCTAGATTGCAACAGATTATCACTTCAGGCCTCCTGGTCTTGTTCACATGCCACATAGTAACAAACGAAGTCAGCATGAGGAAAGAAAATATCATGGCTGCTCCTCACTTGCAAAAATAGTTTGGAGGTGAGGAGCAGCTGTGAAGTTTTCTTCCTTCATGCTAAATTCATTTGTCTTCCAGGTTTTGTTTAAAATCAGAATGAAGGAAAATCACCTCCATACAGACAAAGCAATACCATGTGTTAGCCACAAAGCCATTGAGACAGATGAGTGGGGAGGTGACAAAAGTACCCCAAAATTTCAGACTGATGCAGTGCACTATCACAGCTGAGTTCAGGAGGGGTTGAGATCTCCATAGTGCTCCTGACATCTTTCTGAAATAGTTTTAAAAACCCTCTTGAGCACTGAGGAGCAGTCCAGCTGCAGCGGCACAGAACGCAGCACATGATGATATATTTAACTGACACTGCAGCAGGAAGCACAGACACAACATAAGTTTGTTTTAACAAGATACATGACCCTTCCCTCAAATTTAATTTCTTTAGAGTGTCTTATCTAGCTCTGTAATACTAATTTCTTCTTGCCAGTATTTCTCTGGACCTCTGGCAACTTACTTTTCGCTCTCTCCTAACCACTTTGAGACCAAGTCAGAGGAAGATACCGAGAAGAAAGTTGAGTTGTTGGCTTCTGTCGCAACAGCCTTTGCTAAATAAGACTTCCCTGTTCCTGGTGGTCCAAACAGAAGAATCCCTCTCCAGGGTGTTCTCTTTCCTGCAAGAAAGAAACCATAATTCATCAAAAAAACAAAAAATAGGTTTGTATCAAAAACAAACCTATTTTTCTGACGAATCCTCCCTAATTTGTTAGGTTTTCTATATCTACCTAAGAAACTCCTGTCAGTCACACCACTAAGAGCTCAGCTGGAGTTATTGATAAATCAGCATAACGTTCTTCTCACACTGCTGCCACTCCCAACTTCAACAGTAGCATTAGAATAAGAAATAAATGCTGTAATCCTGACCTGTAAACAAGTGTGGAAATTTAATGGGCAAGATCACTGCTTCTTTAAGAGCTTCTTTGGCACCTTCAAGGCCTGCAACGTCACTCCATTTTACATTTGGTCGCTCCATGACAATAGCACCTGTCAGAAAAGATTATATAAATTAGCAATGCACATTGTTCACCGCTTCCATTTGAAAAAAATGCCCATTTTGTTCGTAACGAACAAAATCAAACCATTTCTAAGTAGATTTAGAGAGTAAATAGTGTTAGTCAAATGGACGCTATTCCACAGAGGTTTGTCACATTGTTTTACCCCAATAAACCATCGATAACTAGAATACTTGAGAGTGAGAAGTTCTGCAATGCCCAAAGCTAGTTTGTGACTGACCAGAAAAAAGGCATTTAGTATTCACAGAGCAGTATCTTCACTAAGGGGACTGAGACAGCATCTCTCACTGAAGCCCAGCATTGTACTTTCCAAAAAATTTGAAGTTTCATTGTAAACAAGGAGAGAAATCATGTAGTTGCATGAGCCCAGCACTTGTAAGATCCTCTGGCAGATAAAGTAACTTGTTGGTTACTTAGATGTGCAATACATAGTCTGAACATCCACTGCATAAGCCTTTTAAAAGCTAGGGGCTGAAAGCATCAGAAAGGTTACTTTTTCTACAGCTTAGCAGGCTCCACGTTCCTTCCACGTCTAGCCACGTTCTCTAAGTTTATCAACAAGTCTTATCTCAATCAACAAGTTGTAATTTGATTTTAGCCAACTGACATGTGATTTAGCCTCCTCTTCAGGCTTCAAATTAATTAGTCTGATCTCAAAAATGTTTTGTCTCCACTACTGCTAGATGGAACAGCTTGAATGTGAACTAGTAATAATAGATTTTGAAATCCTAGTCAAGGCAAATCCAAAGGGTAAGAAAAATCTTCCCAGTTGAACGAATGCCAACCAACCCGATACTTTCAAACACACTGAAGTTTCAGCTGCCCCATTTCTATACCAGGAATTTTCTGTAAATTCACAATTAGCTTTCACCAGTTGTTTTCTTGACACCTTAACCTTATGCCTTCAGAACTCTGTAAATTGATTTTGTTAAGGCTTTTTTTTTTTTTTCTTTTAGAGGATTGAAAAATTACTGCTACTCATCGTTAACAGATAAAGCAAATAACACTTGCTCAGTTTTTCAGCATCTCTGTTGAGATTTTTCTTTTCCCACGTCTTTTTCATGAGATTGAAAGGAACATCTTTTGTTAACAACTGGAATTATTAACAATATGAAATTTGGAGTCCAAAAAACATCATGTTGTTCACTGTGTTAAAAGCACTAGAGTACAAGTTTGCAATCAACTTCCTCTCTATACACTGGAATTCAACCACTCATTTTCAATGCAATAAATCCTTCTGCGAGGTTAATTATATCTCAGTTTTTCTTAAAGTACACAGGACTAAGGGCTCCATAACTAAAATAATTTGTAGAAACGGTAGGAAGAGCAAATTATTTCCAAGCTGAAGTATCAGTTATCTGCCCCAGACATATCATGATAACTGAAATTACCACACTGTAAGAGATTACCCACACCAAGACACAAATGGAACTGGACATTGTAGGCTTCCTAATATTGTAGGTGTAAATGAATAGCTGGAAGATTAAGCAATAGAGTGCAAAAGGCCTTTGAAATTCTAAACACGAGTACATGACAATAAACCCACAATTAATATCCAGTCCGAATGGCAGTGGCCACTTCTCCCACAATAAGTCAAGTTGCTGCTATAATTAAAACCTTGAAAACAGACACAGATTTGGGAAAGTTCCATAAGGCAAAGACAGCTAAGGATAAAAAGGCAGTAAAATTAAATACAGGAAATATCTGTGGCTGTTGTGGGAAGCAAATTAAGATGAGTAATGTGAAGACTGCCCAGAGTTTATACACTATTGGAGTGAAGAGACTCTTATGTTAAGGTTAAAGACACCAAGGATCTCACATCTCAGACTTCCAAAGCATGAAAACAAATCAGCAAGAACCTTGCAATTTTATTGAAAAGTCTTAAGAAGTGATAGGATGCGAGACACTGTTTCTTGAAGACTGAAGGTCAGATTCATGTGGGAAGAAAAAGTGTTTATAGTGAGAGATAGGGGTGAAAGTCCAATGCTCGTCATTATTCCGTGTTGTTAAATACAGGAAATTGTCCCTTAGAACTACACACAGAGTTAAATAAAGGTGTCAAGAAGTAGAAAAAGCATTGCAGTTTCCAAACATCATACAATAGCTCCTGAAACTATACAAGCTGAGAAATCTGTTAAATGCATTTGATCTTTTTTACAATGAAGTTTCTTCAGATTTGTAAACAGCAGCTGTCAGGAAAGCTCTGAACAACTCTTTACAATTAAGAAGTAGTTAGCACCGAGCAAAGCCACTTTTTTACTGTATAAAAAACTCGCGCTAGCTGCCATATGTTGCATCACTGAACACACCAAGCATTTGAGTTCAAAAACCCAATTCTGTTACTCAGCTGAGTATCACTCCTCACTGCAATGTGAGGAAATGCTACAAGAACAAGAATCCATCTTCTTGACTTCTAAACTCCAGTGCAAGCTTTTTGTATTTGTATGATGTCTGTTACCTAAGGCAATAATACCCCAATGCGCAAGAGTAAAATAGTGATACAGTTTAGCAAGAAACTACCTGAAGTCTTGCAACTGTTGCCTTTGGAAAAAGCTTTCTTGAAAAAATGACAGAATTCAAGCAGGAAACACAAAGGACAGGAGATGAACTTCAGCATACTCACAAACACATAGCTCCACAAAGACTACACTTTTGTATATGAACAATATACACTAATTGAGCCACTTAAAGACAACACGCTAATCCATAACACATATGTGCCAGTCATCTAGAAATTCACTTGACTGAAGTCAGCTCTATTTAAAGTTAGGGAGGCTTCAAAGTTACCTTGAAGTTGATTCTGTAGCTTCTTTTTCTCCGGATTCTCTGACTCTCCTTCCCCATCACTTTCGTTCCTTGGAAACAAGAAATAAAATATTGAAATACATTGAGACACTGCTGTCTTAGATTAAAAGGCAAAAAGCAGAAAGACAGCACTCTGAGGAGAAAAAAAAACCTTAAGATTTTAGGCTCTTTCAGATCTCTACAAGCTTAGATCATTGTAGTTCTGTTTTTCCACACCACACTCTTTCTAATCCCCTCTCCTAACCATTTCAACTTCTTCATACAGGTCTGATCCCTCCTCCACTTAACACACTTTACATGCCTTGAGCCATCCTCTAGGAAACAAAACCCCTTGCATTGAGCAACATGGAAGCACGAAAACGGTTCAGCTGTGGATGTTGGCACTTATCCCCTACCTGGAACTGCAGTTGGGCTTGGTCAATTCTGTCTGGTACTATAAAAACTCTACACCCACGTCTTGTCAGAATAAAGGGAACAGGAAGTTACACAAGGAAAAAAGTAGACTAGGTAGAGAACAACGGGAGGGGAGGTCACGGAGCCATGTAGCCTCTGTGACAGTAACGATCCCTTTTATTATAAACCAGCAGAACGCAGCGCAGCTGCAAAAAATAAAACTAATGAGATGAGTAGACAATGAAGGAGACTGAAAGGCAGGTGAAGTTTCAAGAGACAAGTGAGCAATGCTTGCTGTTCAGCGCTGCAAAAAAGGGCAATCTCACCTGGAGATACCTTCCTGAACCCTTCCTCTCCCCTGTCCCCATAAAGCCATCAGCAAATGCTGAAACAAGAGGCTCAGCTTGTTCAGGTAGGTCTGATTCAGCTCTCTGATATGTAAAATGAAACACAGATCTAATAAAAGGAAAGCAGTGGAGAGGCTAGGCAGCAGCAAGGCACTGGAGTGATTCAGGCCACCTTATTGCAACATCACCCTACAACAAGGCCTTTTGCACCTCTTACCATGTGAGACAGATAAAACTTAGGCCACAGTAATCATCAATTTGAATTTATTTTCTACTTGGCAAGCATTCACATGCAGAAGAATTGCGTCATCGGGCTCACTGATGTTTTAAATCTGATAAGAATGTGTTAGTCTGAACCAGCTTTCATTCTTCAGTGAATTTCCCATGCAAATATTCAATCATCTTAGTAAGCAAGCACAGAAAAGCCTGTGACACTAATTCACGCTATTTTTCTTTTATTAGCCCACTGTACTTCAACATTAGAAGTCACCTGAAGCATTTCAAAACAACAGTGAAAATGATCTGTGAAAAGCTGAATTTTAGAGTAAGTTGAATTCAGGAAGTATTTTGCTTTACCTTCTCCCAAAACATACCCTTTTCCATCAGCAGGACCAGACTCTTTAACTGGTTTTGGTGAAGAATTCTCTTTCTTTTTCAGATATTCTTTCAGTTTTTCTGCTCTGTCCAAGTATTCCGCACATCTCAATCTAATGCTCTGTTTTGCTTTATCGCCCTGCGCTTCATCTAAGAGTTTGAAGAGAAACAAAGTTTTGTTAACAGCAAACACGTGCATCAATCAGAAAACAAGACTAGATCTGTCATCTTTACGTCCTTATACATACACCTCTCTCAGTGCTCACCACATAACCAAGTTCTTCAACTACTTATTTTTCCCCCTATACCATAGGAAAGAAGGAGTGACAGGAAGGAGTAATTGTCTACCAAGAATCAAACACACACCTGAGTATTGCTTTGGCTTAAAACCCAACTGAACAGGATTAAGGACAATGGCACTGGAAGTTTTTTCTGTCAGCCTATCAAGCTATTGTCCATTATTTTAATAATTCATTTTCTAAATTAGCTCATCAAGAAGATGCTTGTGCCGAGCGATTTTTTTTTTAGTCTGGAAATGCTTTGCTTTTCCATAGCCTGCTAATTTTAGAAGTCATTCGCATCAAAGAAAAATGACATAAAGAAAAAGATAGGTGCGTTTCAACAGCCACACTGTTCTCATAGTCATTATTATCGTAGTTTAAATCAGCAATCAAAATTTAAATATTAGGTTTAGATGCTAGGTTTAACAATGCCGATGTAATTTTGGAAAAGCACAAAGTCATACTCTGTCAAAGTCCGTAAGATTTAAGTTAAGTCAATCTGTGTTTTTATCAATTCCTTAGTGACTTTTTCGCTTGGCTCAGTTGTTTCTTCCCCCAAATTACAGAGATATGTGAGTGCACTTATCTCTGGCTAGCAACCCTAACGTGCTCAGTTTATGACTGTACATTAAGAGAATCCACTCTTTGCATACAAACACTGGACACAAGACAGAGGTACAAAGAACTGTGAAAGAGAAAGCATAAAATAATTATGAGGGTATGGAAACCGAAGGAAAATGAGAACGTAAAAATCCATCGCATACATTTTGTTGGTCAAGGCGATGAGTAAAACAGACAGCAAGGAGCAAGGATGCCAGCAGAAACGTAGGAAAGCGAGCGGCATGAGTAAATAAGGAAGAAGTGCTCCATGGATACCACAAAGAGTTCTTGCGTATGATATGGTTATCTGCACAAGAGAAGTACAGGAATCCCCGTACTTCTGTCACATTTCCTCATCTGCAGTGGCCAGCCTGAGACACTATAACAGAAACCCTGAGGGCAAACAGTAAAACCCTCTGTCCCTCTCTTAAAAAAAAAAAAACAAAAAAACCCAACAAACTACTAAACACTCAAGGAAAAAAAAATCTGCTTTCTTACAAGAAAGGAGCAGAATGTAGCGAAAGCAAAAGCTGAATAATGCATGACGTCAGTCAAACTACAGATAATAAGTGTCAACTGGTAATGAAAGTCAGATTTTCAATACTGATGTCACCGTAAGAGATTACTCTGAGCAATTTGGCTATAAAACTCTACTTCATGACCTAACACATTGCACTTACATTTAATAACGTGAAGAAAATACTGGACAGCATGCTGGTACAAGCGGAAGGCTTCCTCGTAGTTGCCTGCTTTGTCTTCCTGTGCTGCCTTGCTAGCAAGGTCTATTGCTTTCTGTAACAGGAACAAATAATTAAAGTAAGTGCTGTCTGGCAGCATTTTGCATAATCAAAGAGATTTTAAACTGTTGCTCTGACTTATTATGTGTAGCTTGTCTACTCTTTAATGTTTACCCCAAAAGGCTGAAGGCAATTGATTGCAAGCCTTCGATGGCACATTATGTACAGGACATCCCCATCCTTTCATGAACAGTGATAAGCACAACTTACCAGCACACAAACAAGCCAGTAAGTGACAAGATTAATTTTCTGTGTAGCAACTATTACTGATTTGTCTATGCAGTTTTAATCACCAATCTCTTGCATTTATTATGGAAAAGTTTAGAAATATATTTCATGTTTTTTCATCGCAGACGATTTCATCCATGAGTCACGACATCAGAAAACCTACTGACAGCAGAGTCCGTATAGGAAGTACACGATTACAGAGCGCTGAAACCAGCACTATCACTGCTCTAACCCAAAGCTCAAAAGACTGATTATTTGGTTAGCTGCTCTTGAAGGATTTAGGTTCTTGACATCCAATTAAGAAATTCTAATCACTGCTCTGGGAGGGAGCAGGGGGAAAGGAGCCCACTAGGCAGAAATCAGCTAAGTTATGAGCACTGGAAGAGTTCTATTAAGGAGAATTTAGGGCTGAATTTTTAACTTGTTTGCTGAACTAGTTTCAAACAGAACTGGTTGTAATCCAAGCCACCGTACTGCAAACACTGACCTGTGGATTTATTGACACCACTTTTATTCCTGTGCTCTTGAGTGTTTATTACCTTCTATCATGCTTGGCTCCTTGGCCGTGGCCTATCCCACTTCAGGGCAGCTATAAATTGAGTCTGAACGCCTAGCTCACTAGAGGCCTAAAAAGGACCAGTTAAAAAAAGCCGGAGGTCGCTAACACCACCTAAATCTCCTCTAGCCCCGTACGCATTTTTCCACGTACAGTCAATTTCTTCTCCTAAGCATAACACAACCCCTGTGAGCATGCCAGCTAACCTCAGGCAGCACGGCGGAGATATCCAGAAGCCCTTTCCACAGCCATTCCCGTGCCCGCCACTCACCAGCCCCCAGTCACAAAACCGCCTCCCCCCCGCGGCCCAGCCCGGCACCGCCCGAGCGGCCCAGGCCTCCCCAGGCCGCCACCGTGCCCGGGCCGGGCCTTTACCCCGGGGCCCTACCTGCAGGTTGCCGATGTTGCCCGCCATGGCGGGGCGCTGAGGGGAGTGTGGGGGGGGGACGTGTGGGGGGTGCCGCCGGCCGCAGCCGCCCCGAGCACCAACCGAAACCGCGGCCCCTCCGCCGGCTGCTTCCGCACTACAGCGCCGCTTCCTCTTCCGGCAGCGCCTCGCGTGACGTCAGCGCGTCCCCGTGACGTCATCGCCCCCTCCCGTGACGTCACCCGCCCCGCCGCCTCTGAGGGGGTGGCTGCGGGTAATGGCGGCCGCCCCCCCCCCTCCGCCCGTTTTGGCGGGAGGGGGCGGGGGGGACAAAATGGCGGCCGCGGCACCCTGAGGGCAGCGCCCGCGGCTGGGCGGCTCTGAGGGGTTTTGTGTCCTAAAACTCCTCCGTATTGCTCAAAGCGTCACCGCTAAATAAAAGTTTCAGCTTCTGGCTTCATCCTCACATCGTTTCTGTAAAACATTAAATGGGTGTTTATATATATATATATATCTTATTTTATTTTGATAAAGGTTTTTTCCCTGTGCCTCACACTGCAGACCAAAATAAAATCTCCACACCTTTGCCCTGCTCTTCCCCCGTGGCTCGCTTGCCCCCGTATCAGTCATGTGCCCCCTTTCCTGTCATATCAGTGCCGAGTGCTTTTATTCGCAGAGCCCAGCCCGTCACAGGCAGGTGTCACCGGTGTCGGTCACCTGAGGTTTAGCAATAAAACCCGGGTAACGTGCAACGCCTGCAGTGAATGAAGGAGGAAGTGACTCAATGCACAGCGAATTATAAACCAGTTTTGTAGAGTTCCCTTGCTGTATGGACCTCAGATTGATGAATTTCTGCTAAGTCAGTGCCATGCGTCTGCTAAATTAGTGCCATATCCTCCCCTGTGTTTCTGTAATTCCATCAGGTACAAAAGGAATATCCGAGAAACTCTTCCTTAGATTCATAAACCCCATTTTTCCAGCTACTCCCAGTGAAAGATTGGCCTACCTGAATGGTAATTTCAGTGTCACTTCATTATTATTGTTCTTATTATTTTTAATAAACTACTTCACTGAACCTTTTCAATACAGCCAGCAGGCAGGCTGTTCTGGGCAGAAGGTAAAAGGCACTAACACACTCACCCCTATGCCTAGGGATGCTGCAGTAATCTCTCCCCCAGACCCTTTGGTCAGCAGTTTGTTTTGCTAAGTGTCTTCATACATCCAAAAAAAAAAAAAAAAAAAAGTGATGTAGCAAAGATTAAGGCAAGTAATCAGGCTCTGTTAGAGGAAGTGTGGTTTATTAAACATCCACCAATGACTCTGTCACAAAAGGCAACTGATTGGGCAAGTGATGGGAGAGCTGAGTATTTCTAAAGGAACCTCTTGTGCTGTAATCAGGATGCAGGCATAGCATACTGTGGTGTGAAGTGAAGTTAAATCACATATATCCATTTCTTTCTTCTTCCAAGTGTTGTTTCTCAAACCATGAGATAAAAACATTTTTACTTTTTCACTATGGATTATGTCATCTTGGAGCCTTTGGTATACTGTTTACCTCCTTTCTATTTACAACACTTTAATTTCTTGCAGATGTCATTTCCATTCCCTCTATTTACCCTCTTATTCTGATTGCTGTATCAGAGTATTCTTAGATACATCTCTGCTAGTAATATTTCTGTCTGTGTCATCTGTACCAATGATTTTCAAATCTGTAATGCTACATTTAGCTTTTAAACCTTGGTCTAAAACAGTACGTTCACAGGTGTGTAAGTAACAAATGCCTCAGCAGTCACACTGAACAGGCTTCTGAAACTCCAGATAAAAACTGCATTATGTGAACGTGAGCTAGATAAAAATCAGGAAAGGCATGTGTAACTTTATAGATAACAGGCACAATCTTGTACTTCTTACTTAAAGCCTTACTCATAGAGTATTTCTACTATGATGTGACTTTGCAGCTAGTTTTGCCTGAGGAAATACTGTCTGAATGCTGAGTAATGATGTCCAGGCTAACTCCCGAGAAGCAAATGAAGCGTCATGCCAAGGACACCCTGATTTGAAAGACAAGTGTGGCCACATTATCGAATGCTTCCCATTGCTGAAGTTCTTGTGTCACCATGTTCTCAGAACCCATATCATAGTTGTACATAGTACAACTAAGTGTAATGAAAATAAAATATATTAATGATGAATGTAAGTACCTATTGGCCTTAGCCACATCTGCTAATTGTCCAGGGTACTGTTAAATGACATCGCTATGACACTAGGTGGCACAGGCACACATGATCTCCATGATCCTGAAGGCTGAGCAAATTGTCTTGGAGAATGTTTCCTGTTATTGTCTTTTGGCATGGAAAGAAGGGGGACAAACCACATGTTGGCTGAACACCTCCAATAGATGGATGTGTCATCAAAATGAGTCACGTCTACAACACGGGCAGGCCTCATATCAGTGATACTCCTCACTGTGGTAACTGGCTATAGATATGGCTAATATTAGCGTGAGAGCGAGACTTTTGGATTAGACGACACAAGAGCCACACAGTGAAGGGAAATCATTGCTGTAGAGATCCTAACAGTGCAGATAGGCAAGAAGAAAGGTGGGAGAACACAACCTCTGTTTTTCTTTATTTTTCTACCTGATGAACTGCTGCAGAAAGGTCATTTTGACCTAGGTAAAAAAGGCTGTCAGTAAGAACGCTAGAAGGTAAAATTCAGATTGTCCAAATCCCATTGCACTACCTTAATCCTGTTCAGATTTTGTTCAATGAGCTCACCTGCCCAAGACAGGTCCTCCAGTGGCCACTCTGCTCGGTCAGGCCGGCCACGTAGCCTGCCAGTCCCCCCCCTCTGCAGTGGGAAACGCGGTGTGCCAAAAAGCACGAGTGCTGCTGCTGTCAGAGACCCAGGCCACAAGCTGTCCTCAGGAACATGTCTCCCCGTAGTGTGGTGCCTTGGGGAACACTGCTGATGCAGTAGTCCCAGATGGGTGCCTTCCCTCTGAAATTGCTTTTAATTGCACTGGAAGCACACCAGCGTTGTGGAGGAGGGCTGTGTCCCTAGAGCCCTTGTTCCGAATGCACTCAGGACTCTGGATGCAGAGGCAGGGTGTTGTGGCTACAGAGCCCAGGAGGAAAAAGGTTAAAGCCATCTCAGTAACAGGGAGACTGAAGCCAAAATAAAGCCATGATGCACCTATAGTACTACATGCAAGGGTGATCCTCAGGGCAGGATCTGCTGCACGTGGGTTTTGAAGAGTAAGCAGTCCTCACACTGTGTCAAGGGGCTGTGCTGTAGTCCTGCTGTGTCCCACCCCATGGCCTGAGGTGTCAGTGCAAGTATCTCCAGAATGGATTAGGCATCCTCCTCCCAAAGACCTTGGTCTTTGCACCCCTTTCTTCTGCAGCTGTGGCAGCAACCAAAGGAAATCGAGGCCCTGCTTTTAAAGCCAGACCCTTCCAGCTGTGATTGGACCCTTCCCACCCTGTTCCTGTGGGGTACCATCAGCAAGTGAGGGAGGCAGTGTCTTTCTCGGACAAACCCAACCCTGCTAGAAGAGCCTCAAAGCACGGTACAAGTTAAGAATCCCAAGGGCCTAGAAATACTGCAGTTTTAGGATAAATCTGGTATAAACTGAGTGTCCTGAGGATTTTGAGTACTCCATTTCCGTGGCCAGACCAACAGAAACTCCAGGGCAATAGTAAACACAACTTTCTCTCTCTTATCCGAATTTCTCCACTTGTTATCTCCTGACCAGCAATTTACAGGAAAGTTACAGGAAAGTGAGGGAAAATATTTGAGCTATTTATACACCAGTGCCGGTGGTGCCATGTTAACTTCACTCTTTTGCAAGATCTTGTTTGCTAACAGCAAGTTATGGCCCCTAGGGATGTTTTACCTTGAGGGAGGGAATGGGGGACACACCAAAACAAGTAGAACAAGCAAAATACTGGGGGGTGGAGCTGACAAAAACAAAAAAACAAACAAACAAACAACAAAAAAACAACTACCACCACAGACCACCCACTAGTGCCATGCTTTTCATACTGAAGTGAGGAAAGAGCAGAGCATCCTTGCAATAACTTCATGCCTCAAAACCCTCCTTTGTCACTCTTCATGCACTTGTGTAACAGGTGCTTGCAGGTCTAGTTTCCTTTCTTATTTCAGGACTGGAAGATGGCTTCATGGACAAAACAGACTTGACTTGGGGAAGAGTAATTGAATTTATTGCCAGCTGATCACAAAGTAGGACAGTGAGAATTTGAAAAACTTTAAAACAAACCAACCAACCAACCAACCAACCAACCAACCAACCAACCAGAAAACCACCTCGCCACACTACCCTCCATCCCAGGCTAAACCTCAGTCTTGATTCTTCTATCTATTTCCCACGGAGCAGTGGGGGGTAGGTTGGAGGATGTTGGGGAATGGAGGTTGCAGGCTCTGCTGCTCCTTCATTGTATTTGGCAATTTTATTGATGGTAGCGCTCCCCACCCCTCCCATCCCCTCTTTTCCCTTCCCTCCACTCCCCTGCCCTCCCCTATGCTCCCTGTTCTTTCTGAGCAACAGTATGACAGATTCGGGTGCGTGGACAGCACGTGGGGCTACGGGGAGAGGACATGTACACAAAGATTTGGCTCCAGAATCCAAAATGTCATGTATTTGGCAATTTTATTTATGGTAGCACTCCCCTCCCCTCCCCCCCCCCTCCCCTCCCCTCCGCTCCCCTCCCCTTTTTTGCCTCCCCTCCCCTCCCCTCCCCTCCCCTCCCCTCCCCTCCCTCCCCTCCCTCCCTCCCCTCCCCTCCCCTCCCCTCCCCTCCCCTCCCCTCCCCTCTTTTGCCTCCCCTCCCCTCCCCTCCCCTACCATCCCCTCCCCTACCATCCCCTCCCCTATGCTCCCTGTCCCTACGCTCTGCTACACTCCCCTCCCCTATACTACCCTACACACTCCTACACTCCCCTCCCCTATCCTACCCTACACTCCCTTCGCTACACTACCCTACATTACCCTATGCCCCCCTCCCCTACACTCTCCTACACTCCCCTCCTCCCGTATCCTACCCTACACTCCCCTAAACTCCGATCCCCTACACTACCCTATACTCTCCTATGCTCCCCTCCCCTCTAACACGCTACACTACCCTACCCTACCCTACCCTACCCTACCCTACCCT